GTTCCTATGTTGTTCTAATCGTTTTTTTAATTTTTGTTTTGTTTGTCCTATATAACATTTTTCACATTCACATGGTATTTTATATATCAAGTTTGATTGTTCCAATTTATCATCTTTATCTTTTAGTTTAACTAAAATTGTCTGTTTGCAAACGTTGACTTCTCTGATTTCTGTTGTCGAAACGGATGTATCGCAGAATCTCAGTGAAATCACGTCTACTCATACTGCTGGAGAAAAATGATGGTCCCTAATTGATGTTCCACAAATATTGAAGCCTTAAAGTATTTCCTTCGTACGCCTTACGTGCGTACAATATTGCATTGAATGCTTTTAATTTTTCTTGCGAAATTGTCCAGTTTTTCCCCAAAATTCGAGAGGCTTCTAACTCTGTACCAATTCGTATATGTTCCAAAATATAGTTGTCAATCAGTAATATGAACGCACTACTTAAATCTTCGATCAGTAATGTTAGTTTTAGCATGTGCTGTTAGCCCGTGTATATCTTTAAAAGCACTATTAACTGGTAGCCTACCAGCAAAACATTTTCTTTCAATTTTTGTCTAAATAGTTCCGTCTGAAGCAATTTCAGTTTGCTGATATGGTACGTTACTTCCACCTTTGTCTCCAGAACTAGAAGGGAATCGCATGCATCGTCTCGTACGTTTGTTTGAAATATTTTCGCGATTACTGTTACTTAACTGATGGTCTCATGATTTACCCGAACTCATACATTTCTTCGAAAAACAGGCTTCAGTCATTTTGACTGGTACTGGTATAAATGTAGAAAAAAAAAATATATTTTTTATTAGCATATTTAAAAAAAATTAAATTTATAAAATGTATTTAATACTCATAGCTACAAAAGTCATAAAATCAATTAGGAAATAAAATGTTATACGTAGTAGGAATTTTTCATTGAAATTGTACGACTAGTCAAAATAACTGGTCAGGTAAGTCTAGTGTAAAAAAAAAATTTCGCAGCTTCCTGGATAGAACAGTAGTTAAAACTCTCAGATTTCTAAAAAAGTGCTATATAACAAAGGCTATAAAACGTTTTCTATCAAGTTTTAAAGCGTATACTCACAAATGAAAAGTTTTAAATCCGATTAGGTTTGGAAAACATCATTTATATTTCAACAACTGCACTTCAAAAAAAGAGAAAAAATCATTTTATTACAACTTTTTTTAGTTACTTTACGTGTAGAATTCAATTCTTTTTTGAAGAAATTCTATTGTATTAACCTCACATCCATTCTGTTTAGTTTCTAATAGCACATTTTTACCGTCGCTATAAAATTTCTAATATAATTAAAAGAAACTATCGTTGCTTTCTGGATTAAATCGTAGTTAAAAACTGCAAAATTTCTAAAGAAGTGCTATTTAACAAAAGCCTTAAAACGTTTTAAATAATACTTTAAAGCATATACTTACAAATAAAAATTGTTTCTGACTTGCAAGTCAGAAAAAACGCGTTTTTTGTGAATTTTTTCCAAAGAGGCATTTTATTTTATACTATAATGGAAAAAATGTACTTAAACAGAATTTAATGTACTTCAACAATCAGCGGTTTATTTAAAAAAATATTAGATCCCCTAGCTCCTGTAGATGATCTGCGGAGAGACCTCCAAAAAAAAGTGCTTGGCAGTGAGCAAGATATCTCAGGTTCAAATTATCTGAAAACCAAAAACCAAAAATATTTAGTTTTGTAATAAATMAATACAGGTAATGATCGAAGGTCTAGTCAAAATTTTGATTTTTGACAAAATGGCGGCTGTTCAAAAAAAAAATTCAGTTTTTCATGAAAATTTTTCACTTCAAAGTGGCTTAAAAAATCGAAATTATTGTCCAAAACCTTATTCCTTAAATCATTACCTGAAAAATATATCTAAGTAAGTCGTGTGAAAATTTTAAACCGATCGGTTTAGGGGTTTCGGAGAAATTTTCCTCACCGACTCTGAAAACACGGTTTTGAGATAAACGCGTTTAAAGTTTCGGGAATGATTTACACTAAATTAAAAATTTTTTTTATTCAACTTACATCGTGTCATCTATTCCAGCACCATAAGAGGAACCCTCTGCTTCGTCGTTTGCCTCCAAAATGTTTAGTTGTTGTTGTCTACGAGCCATTCTCCCCTCGCGCGTCGACCCTTGCGCTCTTGGGTCCGAAATTGAGATGCGCTCTGCGTCYTCTTTACTCACGAAGGAATGAGCATTGGGTCCAAGTGATAATCCCATAGCACTGATATAATAAAGAAGAGATGTTTTACTTTCATTAAAGACCCCGGCTGCAATGTTTGCAGCTATTTCCACAATTTTAGAGCCAGCTGGAATATTTTTTTGAGTTATTTTCCATATCAGCTGATTATAACTTTCATTATTGTTCTGGGTAAAACCACCAACGCATCGTTCCAATAATTTTTTGTTACTTAGATCTTCGTAAATTGGAAAAATAGCTGTTGCAACATCAGGTGGTAAGGCCTCATAATCATGTTTATAGCTGGGCAAAGTTCCCAAGACTCGCGCTTTTTGCCACGAACACGACGAGTTTTCTCCTATAGGACAATTATCATGCTGAGGGTTTTTATCTGTAGAGCAGTTATGGAAATAAGATGCCCAAATGGCTTTATACATACTGTCAACAGAATCCCAGTGTCTCCTAATCACTAAACCATAGTAAACGGTTAATTTATCAATAAGTGTCCCAGTCAATTTACCTTTGCCACCAAGTAACTTTTTTTTTTTTTTCCATTCTTATCTTTCATTTCTTCTACTGTATTATTTACTATGTCTCTTAGCCGTTTGCTTATTCTTTTTTGGACATGCCTAATACATTCTTTCTTCGTTACTTCTGTCTCACCATAAGGAGCAGCCTTCAAAATCCCCGAATAAGTTTTAGAGTCACCATCACCGATGTAGTTTCTAAAACGAACTTGATACTTTTCCAATGAACGTTTGAACATGGTAATAACAGCATCAACTTTCATTTTTCCTGATGACCCCCCGTAGCTAGCTGAGCATACGTCATTGTGCTCGTTCCACTATTCCTGATATTCAGCAGTATCCTTGTGAGATTTCCAAGGCTCGCATTGCTTACAGTAAGAGCTKTTAACTAAAAGATCAATTATTTTTAAACTGTTGTATCTAATTAGAGATGTAACTCCCAATAGATAAGTAAATCCCCTTTTTTTCCAAGTTCCATCTCCTGAGACTGTTAAATCACTCTTATGTTCCTCACCCTGCTGTTCAGACGTGGCATTCATTTCCTCGACACAAGCTTTTTTTAAAAGTTTATGTGTGACTACTGACACACATTCGTGGATATTTTGAACGATCATATCATATGAAGTTTGGAGCAAAAAAGCTGTCATGTCCATTAGCCCACAAAATTGAGTAGCACCTTTTAAATCTAACCCAAGGGTTCTCATCACAAATATAAATCGTCGATTTATTTCATACGAGTGTTTGACAAARTTACAAGAGTTTACACTACGAGGACTACATTTATCACATAAGATAACAATTTTAAAACCAAGTCCACGTTCTGATGCTGTTTCAAATTTTACTGGCTCACGGCAAGTTTTACACAATACATACTCACTAATAGCCGTAAACGCAGTTATAAAATTTAAAATTCTATATTCAACTGACGTATCGCGAGTTACATATATTTCCTCTTGCGCTTTAAATTTTTTTGCTGAGGCGCTGAAACTGCTATCATCATATTCTACGGTTTTCGGATTAAAAACGTTCTTTCGTTTATTTCTTCGAGACAACTGTTCACTAGAAGTTCTACGAGTTTCTCTGCTAATTTTACAAAGCATTTTTTACTTTAATTAATTAATCTATGCACACAGAGAAATACACAAACTGAGCAAAAACACAACTTGTCAACGTGGAAGATCACTTTTAACTGATGAGTTCACATATTTTTAACTTAAAATTCCTTAATATACGTTTCAGGTATAAACTAGACCTTTTGTATTATTATCTTAGGGTCCCAAACACAATATAAGWCGAGAACRAAAGTATAGCGGYTACCAGAAACAGCTGCTACTCCGGCTCGTGCTCCGCCTACTTTCGAACGCTCGGAGACGTTCTTACTAATACGCTCATATCTCCGAAACTAATTGTCGGATCGATTTGAAATTTTCAGAGAATATTCTAAAATATATTTACATTCAAAAAATGAATAAAAAAAAAAAATTTTTTTGAAAATCACAAGTGGATATAACCCCTCAAGTACGATATTATTTAGCAAATATCATTTATATTTTAAATACTGCAGACAACAAAAAAAGATAAAATCATTTTATTAAAATTTTTTTTGTTACCTTACGTGTAAAATTTAATTCTTTTTTGACGAAATTCGATTGTATTCAACCTGACATTCAATCTGTTTAGTTTTTAATATCACATTTTTACCGTCGCTAAAATTGTCTCAATATATTTAATAGATATTTTTTTTACTTTCTGGATTACATCGTAGTTTAAAACTATATAATTTCTAAAAATGTGTTATTTAACAGAAGCAATGAAACGTTATCTCTAAAGCTTTAAAGCGTATACTTATAAATAAAAAGTTATAAGTCTGTTTAAATCTAGCAAATATCATTTATATTTTAACAAATGCAGTACAAAATAAGAGTACAAATCATTTTATTATAAATTTTTTTGTTACTTTACGTGTAGAATTCAATTCATTTTTGACGAAACTCTATTGTAGTTAACTTGACATCTATTCTGTCTAGTTTCTAATAGCACATTTTTAATGTAGCTAAAAATATTTCAATATATTTAGGAGACATTTTCTCTGCTTTTTGGATTAAAAAATAGTTAAAAACTATCAAATTTTTAAAAAAGTGCTATAAAACACAAGCTGTAAAATGAATTTTTTCCAAGTATAAAGTGTTAACTGACCAAAAAAAACAGTTAAGTCTTATAAAATCTTGCAAATATCATTTATATTTCAACAACTGCCGTCAAAAAAAAGAGTAATAATCATTTTATTACAAGTTTTTTTGGTTACTTTATGTGTAGAATTCTATTCTTTTTCGACGTAAGTCGATTGTAGTCAAATTGTCATCCATGTTTTAAGTTTCGAATAGCACATTCTTTTCCGTTGCTAAAAATTTTTCAATATATTTAAAAAAATTTTTGCTACTTTTTGAATTAAATCGTATTTAAAAACTATAAAATATCTAAAAAAGTGCTATTTAACACAAGCTATAAAACGTTATCTTTTAAGGTTTAAAGCGTATACTTACAAATAAAAAGTGTAAAATCTGAAAAAGTTTAACAAGCATCATTTATATTTTAACCACTGCAGCAAAAAAAGAAAAAAAATTATTCTATTACAAATTTTTTTTGTTACTCTACGTGTAGCATTCAATTATTTTTCTACGAAACTAGATTGAAGTCAATCTAACATCTATTCTCTTTATTATCTGATAAAACATTTTTACCATCTCTGAAAATATTTTGTTTTATTTAAGGGAAAGTTTTGCTGCTTTCTGGATTAAATAGAAGTGGAAAACTATAAGATTTCTAAAGAATCTCTATATAAAAAAATCTAATAAACGATTTCTTTCAAGTTTTAAAGCGTACACTTACAAATAAAAACTGTTAATTCCGATAAAATCTAGCAAATATTATTTATATTTACACAACTGCAGTTCAAATAAACGAAAAAAATCATTTTATTAAAACTTTTTTTGGTTACTTTACGCATAGAATTCCACTTATTTTTGACGAAACTCGATTGTAGGCAACCTGACATACATTCTGTTTAGTTTCCAGTAGCACATTTTTTCGTGACTTAAAATTTTTAAATATATTTAAGAGAAATTTTTGCTGCTTTCTGGATTTAATAATAGGTAAAACTATCGCATTTCTAAAGACGTTCTATATAACTAATGCTATAAACCGCTTTCTCTCAAGCTTTATAGCGTGTGCTTACAAATAAAAATTGTTAAGTCCGATTAAATTATGAAAACATACTGTATATTTCAAACACTGCAGCTCCAAACAAGAGAAAAAATCACATTATTACAACTTTTTTTAATTACTTTACGCGTAAAATTCAATTCTTTTTCTACGAAATTCGATTGTAGGCAACCTAACATTTATTCTATTTAGTTTTTAATAGCACATTTGTACCGTCGCTAATATTTATGTAATATATTTAAAAGAAATTTTTGCTGCTTTCTTGATAAAACTGTAATTAAAAACTATAAAATTTCTAAAGAAGTGCTGTAAAAGAACAGCTGTAAAACGTTTTCTTTTAAAATTTAAAGCGTTTACTTACAAATAAAAAATGTTAAATTTCATAAAATCTAGTAAATAATATTTATGTTTTAAATACTGCAGTCTAAAAAAAAAGAAAAAATCATTTTATCACAAATTGTTTTGGTCACTTTACGTGTAGAATTTCATTCATTTTCGACGAAACTCGATTGTAGTCAAAAAAACATCTTTTCTGTTTAGTTCCTAATAGCAGATTTTACCGTTGCTAAAAATTTTTCAACATATTTAAAAGAAATTTTCGCTACTTTCAGGAATAAGTCGCAGTTAAAAACTTTAAAATTCCGAAACAACTGCTATTTAACATAAGCAATGAAACGTATTCTTTCCAGCTTTAAATCGTATAATAAAAAATAAATTGTGTTAAGTCCGAAAAGTTTTAACAAACATCATTTATATATCGACTACTTTCAAAAGAAGAGAAAATATTATTTTACAACAACTTTTTTTTATTACTTTACGTGTAGAATTTAATTCTTTTTGGAGGAAACTCGATTGTAGTCAACTTGCTATAAACTCTGTTTAGTTTCTAAAAGCACATTTTTACCGTTGCTTAAAATTTTTTATAATATTTAGGAAAAATTTTGTCTGCTTTCTTGGTTGAATAATAGATGAAAACTATCAGATTTTTAAATACGTGCTATATAACAATAGCTATAAAACGTTTTATTTCAAGTTTCAAAGCGAATACTAAAAATAAAAGGGTTAAGACCATAAAGTTTTGACAAACATCATTTATATTTCAAATACTGCTGTCAAAATAAAAGAAAAAATAATTTTAATACAAATTCTTTTTGTTACTTTACGTGTTAAATTCAATTATTTTCGACAAAACTGGATTGTAGTCATCATGTCATCCATTTTGTTGAGATTCTAATACCACATTTTTACCGTCGCTAAAAATTTATCAATATATTTAAGAGAAATTATCGCTAATTTTTGACAAAAATAATAGTTGACAACTATCAATTTTCTAGAGAAGTGCTATATAACGACAGCTATAAAACGTTATAAATTAAGTTTTAAGAGTATACTAACAAATAAAAAGTGTTAGGTCCAAAAAAATCTAGCAAATATCATCTATATTTTAACAACTGCAGTACGAATAAAGAGAAAAAATCATTTTTTTACAAATTTTTTCGGTTACTTTACATGTAGAATTCAATTTTTTTTCGACGAAACTCGATTGTAATCAATCTGACATCCATTCTGTTTAGTTTCTAATAGCAAATTTTACTGCTGCTAAAAATTTTTCAATATATTTAAAAAAATCTTGGCCTCTTTTTAGATTAAGCCGTAGTTGAAAACTATCTCGTATCTTAGGTATTGCTATATACCAAAAGCTATAAAATTTTTTTTCAAAGAAACTCGATTGTAGTCAACCTGACATCTATTGTGTTTAGTTTCTAAAGGCACATTTCTACCGTCGTTAAAATTTTTTAATATATTGAAAAGAAATTTTTGC